ACGAAGACAGAAACCAATCCTGTAATTGGAACTTAAACATTCATCCTCCTAGTGATGTATGAACCACAGAGGAATCCATCTCCGTTCTCAGTAGCTGAATGGGTTCTACAGGGCTAACCAGTAAGTGTAATTGGATGCAGTTTACAATTCTCACAGATAAGTGGGAATGTACAATGATGCATGTAACTAACATGTCTTAGGCTGCAGTCTTAGATAAGTAGAAAGATGACAATAGAGAAAGCAGGGTTTTATTATATATTAGGTTTCTTTTTTCTTTAAGGACTACAAATGATCCTGAGCTGCAAAACTTCAAACTCCGGAAAGTTGTGGAAGTTCAGATGAGATTTTTGATTCTTACCCAACTCTAGTTGCAACAGATTTCATTTTATTTCTGGGAAAAATAAATTTGGTTTTAATTTGTTTAAATAGATATGTACTATACTGAAATAGTTATAGAAGAAAAGAAGTAAAATAAAAACACAAAAGCTAAACAGCCAAATACCCAAATATGAAATACAAAATAGTATACCTTCAAAATACTAAAGATGATAGAAAATGTTGCAAAGTCTACGTAAGTCCTTACTTACATAGTAAAATTATTTATTTTTACATCTGTTTATAGTAATTGACAAATAATAAATATAAGACATGCTGTCTCTGCACTGTCTTCCACCTTAGCTCCACCCACTGCCTCAAAGCCCTCGGATGGCTTGAAGCTGCCTTTGTGCTGAATCTTTGGAGAAGGTATCAGTAGCCTACAGAAGTAGGGGTGGAGGGGAGAGAATTGGCTACAACACATCAAGCTACTCACAACTACCAGAGGCAGTCTGAGGTTGGGACTGTTGCTAAGACATCCTGGGAAGAATCTTACTAATATTGTTAATTTATAAATTGTCTTTCTCAAGTTTATTCTGTTGTCCCCCATATATCTTCTCTTACCCTCACACCTCAAATAAAGTTATTTGATTTAAACCCCTTGACTCAATACTTGAGAATGATGGTATTGCCTATCGGGGTGCCCAGGGTGGTACATATAGTTTCCCAGGAGTCTTTGACTTTAATACCATCTAAAAGATGGTCAAACAAGGGGAGATTTCCTTGTAAAAGTTCTCTTCTGCTAAGGGGAAAGGGAACAAAAAATGTGAAAATAAAAACCTTACTTAATACTTTACATTTCAAATATTTTAGTTGTTTTTCCTTCTTTTCTTTATCTTTAATTAAAGGTTAAAAGAATTGTTAATAGTGTGGTTGCCATGGTACTAAGCAGGCTGAAGTCTCTGGGTACCAAACCACAAACCTTGTTTAACACTGTTCAGTGTTGGACAGTGACTGGATTATAGTAACATGCTTGGCACATTTATTCCATCTAAATTAATACAACAGCTCCCCCCTTTCTAGGGCTTCAGCCACAGGGCTTACATGACAAGGTTTTCCAAACAACTTTAAGAAGATACCATAGGATTTTTGCCAGGGGACTAATCTTCTATTACTCAATGAGCCAGGTTTGATCATGAAATATATTCTAATTATATCAATGCATTTCACAGATATAAAGCTAGAAGGGGAAAATCAGCCCTGCTATAGCTCTGTTTTCCCCAGAAGTTGCTTCATTTCCACTGTCTTCTCATTGGCTCTCAAGCAGGTTCTGAGTCTCCTCGGTAAATAGGGAGACTTAACAAAAATAAGAGTGAGGTGCTCTATCGTTACACACTCCTGGTCTCTGCTGGGATGTTCCAGTTCATGGCTGGAGACCAGAGAGAGCAGGGTGAGTGTGTGGGTAGGGTGTCTCACACCATTTCTGGTTTGATGACCTTTAGAAGGGTGTGTAAAGTGTACATGGGGTGGCCACTCACACATCTTTAAAATACCGGTCTCCAGGTACTTCCAGGAACGGCACTGGCCCACCCCAATCTGCGTCCCCCTGCTGGCATGACCTCGCATTCATGTTGTGTGACGTCACACCAATGGGGATGGAATGGTGAACTCTTCAAAATGGTGACAGGTTTCAGAGTGGTAGCCGTGTTAGTCTATATCAGCAAAAAGAATGAGGAGTACATGTGGCACCTTAGAGACTAACAAATTTATTTGAGCACAAGCTTTCGTGGGCTAAACCCTACTTCATCAGATGCATGCAGTGGAAAATACAGTAGGAAGATATATATACACAGAGAAATGGGCCATCCTGATTATCACTACAAAAGTTTTTTTTCTCCTGCTGATAATAGCCCACCTTAATTGATTACTCTCGTTATAGCTGGTGTGGCAACACCCATTTTTTCATGGTCTCTGTGTATATATATCTTCCTACTGTATTTTCTACTGCATGCATCTGATGAAGTGGGTTTTAGCCCATGAAATATTATGCTCAAATAAATTTGTTAGTCTCTAAGATGACACAAGTACTCCTCATTCTTCAAAATGGCATTCTCTGTGCCTAACACTAGACAAAACCACATCTGGTTTTATACCAGTACTGGACAGGAGAGAAACCTTAAAAAAAAACCAGGACTGTCAAGCTCAAAATTGGACTAATGGCCTGGCTAAGCGTACAGCACCTCACATTTCCTGTGTGCAGCAGCAGGGAGTCTTACAGGGAGAGGAGCAGTGCGGGGAGGAGGGGACATGGTCGGCAGCAACAGCAGAGCTGGGCTTGAAGCAGGACTTTATGATCCCAGCTCTTGGGGAGCCCCAATAGTGTGTCTGAAACAGCTTCCCTGCAGAGAGAGAATGTCTCCTGAAATACCCAAGACACCTCCTCCAGCCTGGGGGAGTGTGTAACATTAATGTAGTTAACATGGCTTTTTTCAGTACATTTCCTGTCTCCCCATCCCACCTCTAGCCACTGATGTCTGGACTCTTTGCTACACACCTTATAGTGGATACTGGAGTTCCTGATAGGAGACTGTTAGACTAGCAGTGAGCTCCTGACAGGATATTTTCACTAAACGCACCCAAATGTCTAGTAAAATTAGCTATATTTTAAATAACTCCTTTAGTGTGTGTCTTACTATAGATAAGCAACCAATACTGTGGTGAGAGCTGGAGGTACTATTTGAAGTAGGAGTACAAATAATACGGACCTTCAGCCTTAACAGATATGAAATATTAGCAAAAAGCTTCCACAGACACTTTGTAGATGCAAACAAAATGTGAGCAAACCACTGACAGTCAAACACAACCCAGTGCTAATTCTGAGAAACTTGGTGGCTCATTTCAAGCAGTTCACACAGTCCTGATGATACCTCAAAAACTTTGTCTTTTTCTGTTCCTCACCCAGCTTGCTGAGTATTGGCCTTCCTTTTGTTCTCCCATCCAATCTTGATATTCTTAGTGGAAAAGCTCTCTGCAGCTCTTTCTTTTTGGTGCAGTGTTCACTATCTCTCTAGTTCACTGACTGTCTTTTTTCACTTCTTGACTAAAAACATCTCTTTCTCCATTACCTACGTCTCTTAATTTATTTCACTCTGCTGTTACTTATTTTTTTTAAAGTGTATTACCATGTTTAATTCTGAAAAATGTTTTAGGAAAGAGTTTGTATGAAAGTGAGCACAAAATGAAGTTATGTGTCTTTGGTGTGTACAGCCAGTGTGCCCACCCCACAATTGTTTATCTCCTCTATATCTTTGAAGTTGGTGTGGCAAAAATAAAACATCACAAGCTAAATTTGTGTTTGCTGCTGTCCAAGATTATTTGAATAAGTCACCTCTATATTGCTGTGGCTGACATCAAAGCTATTCAATTTAGGAAAAAAACTGAAGTACAAACGACAGCATCTGATTGCTAATTTATTTTTAGGTGATCCAAGACTCGCAGCAAAATGTTTATTTTTTATCATATCTGTCAGTGTTTATGGAAAACATCCATGGAGAGGCAAGCCATAACCAGTAAGATATGGCAACATTTCAAACTCTACAGTATGGAGGATCATAGAAGAAACTTGAATGCCTCATAACATTTCTGTAGTCCAAAGTATTGGACATTTCTGAAAAAAGGGTGACTGCTCTTAGGAAAAAAAGATTACAAAACCAATGAAGTGCTGTTACAAAAATCTATACAATATACTTGTGAAAGTGCACCTCATTACTGGGTAAGACAGATAATTCTTCAGTGAAAAAAAACACACTGCAGTGCAGGCTGTGAAGATATATAGATTGCACAGACCAAAAGGAAATTTTATGTGAGATGAATCCTTTGACCAAATAGAGTCTGTGCTTTGCTCTTTTTCCCATGAAGGTTTCTGTTATAAGGAGGTATTGATGCAATTATATGTGTGAAGCTGATTTTTAAATGCTGAATTTTGTACATTATGTGGAACAGATTTTAATCCCACCTTGTTTTGATTGCTTCAAGAGAGCAATGCTGTTTTTAACAGAAAGTGGTTTATTTGGGAGAGTTTACTTGAAAGTACGTGTTTCACTGGGTTTGGGAAGAATTAATGAAAGGACCATAGAGGTGCTTTAACAAATAGGGTATTTCAATCTTTCAAATGTAGAAGAAAATAAAGTCTATATAGCTTATTTTGGAAGGCATAAAAGTAGTTCCACTTCTTTCTCTATTCTTGGGGTAAATATTTAGAACAATACATTAAAATATACTTGTGGGACTGCTATTAAGACTTAGTTGGATAAACTTGATTGAAAGCTTAACTTTTCCATGTCATTAAAATTTTCTAAAAATGCACAACAATCAATACATGATACATTTAGAGAGCAAAGGAAAAAAAATCACACACATTACTGAAATAACCCAAGTTGGATGTTGATGTTGCAGCTGAAACATACTATACCATACACATTTTGTTTGTTTGTTCACTACAGTTTAGATATTGAATTTTGCATGGAACACCACTACTCTGGAACACTGATTCCATGTAGCATTTAGCATATTCTCAAAGTTCTGAAATAACCAAATACAATGCCTTTGGAAAACTATCTTTATTAAAGGTAATAAAGTCATGTTTTATGAATCTTCTTGAATATGAAGTAAGTTAGTCCAAAGATGCCAGATACATACACCCTTCATTAAGAATCATGTAGGACAAACTAATAATAACATCCACTGTAAAAATCCCCTCCCAAAAAAAGTTTATTTGGAGGGTTTAAGTATTTCTTGAATTGTTTCTCCTGGATTTAGGCCATACATTAACACGCCTTCCTTTATGCCTGCCCACGCCATCCGCTTGGTGGTGAATCGTGCTGTCCATTCTCCAGTTTTGCTGACAACTATAACTCCTCCCCGTCCATGGACTCTCTTCTCCATATAGTGAAGAGCAGAATCTGCAGCTTCCTCTGGAGTTTTACCTAGTGTCAGAAGCACATCTGATTAGCTATTTATACACATAGTACAAAAATATAAAGACCATTAGTAGTATACTTTAAACATTGACATTATTTATTAGCTTTCCTTTTACCTTCAAGAATAAAAGTAACACATTGAATTAGTTTCAGAGTGGTAGCTGTGTTAGTCTGTATCAGCAAAAACAACGAGGAGTCCTTGTGGCACCTTATAGACTAACAAATTTATTTGGGCATAAGCTTTCGTGGGCTAAAACCCACTTGATCAGATCTATGGAGTGGAAAATACAGGAGCAGGTATAAATACATGAAAGGATGGGAGTTGCCTTACCAAGTGTAAGATCAGTCTAACAAGACAATTAAATTAACAGCAGGATACCAATGGAGAAAAAGGTTTCAGAGTAGCAGCCGTGTTAGTCTGTGGGTTGTAGCCCACGAAAGCTTATGCTCTAATAAATTTGTTAGTCTCTAAGGTGCCACAAGTACTCCTGTTCTTTTTAATGGAGAAAAAATAACTTTTGAAGTGGTAATGAGAGTGGCCCATTTCAGACAGTTGACAAGAAGGTGTGAGTAACAGTAGGGGGAAATTAGTATTGGGGAAATTAGGTTTAGGTTTTGTAATGACCCAACCACTCCCAGTCTTTATTCAGGCCTAATCTGATGGTATCCAGTTTGCAAATTAATTCCAGTTCTGCAGTTTCACCTTGGAGTCTGTCTTTTGTTGAAGAATTGCCACTTTTAGGTCTGTTATTGAGTGACCAGGGAGATTGAAGTGTTCTCCTACTGGTTGAATAAGCTGCATGAAAATACAGTGCACAAAAAAGAATAAATTAATCAATTTGCTAGAAATGGATTTTGATGGTGTTCATTTTTCAGTTGGTCTGCAACAACTCAGAAGGGTAAAATGCTTATCAATCAGATTTCTCCAAAGTTCATCTTATGTACATGAAATATGATGTAGAAAAAATATTTTGCTCAAACCTCCATTTTACTTCCAGTTTGTTTTTCCTTTCCAACCCATGGTCTGGGACCCCCATTCTGGAATTGTTTCACACTCCCACTGAACTTAGGGAGAGCTCAGTGAATGCATGCTCAAATTGTACATTATTTGGGGCAAGGACTGTCTTTTATCTAAGCTTGGAAAGGGCCCAGCATGTTGTAGCTAGTACTGCAAACATAATAATTAGTAATCAAATTCTTGGTGTGTAACATAATTATGCAGCGTCAGGGGAAATCTACAGCACCATCATATACAAAGCATGGGGAATTTTAGTGGGCACCCAATTTTGTCTCACTTCCCTTGCTTTTGATCAATGTTAAGCCTCTCAGAAAAGTACAAACTCTTCAGAAAGCCTCAACTCTCCTTCTGTTTTATTGAAACAAGGGGCAAAATTGTTAGGAACAGGCCCCTCTCATACATGCATCACATACATAGTACAGCTTAGAGGTAGCAAACAGTGTCTAGGGTAAATCAAGGAGATGTGAACTGCATAAAATACCCCAAACAGGCTAAATATCAGCTTCCTTTGAGGAGTGAAAATTCTTCTAATTGCTGTCCAAACATATTTGGCTCTGAATCCCTGAGCCTATCAAGTACTTCTCCCTAACAGGCCCTGGATCCCTTATCTGAGCAGATTTTCTGGAAGGGGATAGGAAGTGCTTACTAGATTGCAGTGCCCCGCTATCATTTGGAGGCAGATGCTATCCCACCCCATTTCCCTGGATCTTTGCATGTTGAAATTTTGGGAGGGATGTCAATGGTAAAGCTACTTCTTTAACCCCAATGTATCAGAGATCTCTTCTGGGGAGCAGGAGGCTGCACACCCTTTATTTAGACAACCAGAATGACTTTGCAAAGCTGCTAGGAAGTTTTTAGCTCCCAGCGACACAGAGGAAGATTTCAGGGCACTTTGAGCTCCACAGAGTCAGTGGATTTTCAGCAGCAGCATAACAATAACGTTCTCTGGATGGGCAGCCACCTTCCACCATCCAGAGGAGACATGTTGAGGACTTGGAGGTAGTGACCTTACCATGCAGCCCACTCAAAGATTCAAGATAGGGTGAGCGAACATTGGGACTTCTGATCCTGAGAGATGCGGTTAGTAGAGAACCAGCCAGTCCAAGCACAGCACAGCTGAGAAGGAGTTGGGGGATATTTAATATACTGGGTCGTATACCTCTCCCTAGAAGACTTCAAAAGGAAGAGACAACATGGAGGACTTTATGGAGTGGGGTATTGGAGTCATCACAGCTGACAGGAGAAATTTATCTAGGACAGTATGTGTTTCTTGCCAGTTGGAAAGCTGAAACATTGAATGATGCAACTGAAGAGGGGAATCAGTGCTTTTAGACCTTTAATTTTGTTCCCTTAATATAGCATCCATCTGCTTTATACAAGTTTTAATTCAGATCTGTCTTAGGGTCTTTTTAAAAAAACCTGTTCAACTTGCATTACAGTGTGTCAATGGTTAGAGAATAATTACCATAACTCCCACTCCTACCCAACCATGCTGAAGATATTCACAGAGGCATCTCTCATAATGTTCATTTGAGGCTTATCTCTTAATGACTGCCAAAGGACAGGGATCCCTCACCCTGGTTTCTTATTGCAAACAGCCTTTATGCGCACCACTGGCATGTTCAACACCAAGTACTTTTGTGACTGGGGTCCTAGTAGGGAGCCAGCTGTGGTCACTCAATTAGGGTGAACTGCAAAGAATGGGGCAGGCAATCCTCATAAAGCTGGTGGATATTCCAATACTTAGATTTACCAAGCCAGCATATTACCTTACTGGTTACTCAGAAGTCCAAAAAACATAGTTTCCTTAAAGTGATCCAGCCTCAGGCCTCCATCCAGTTACTCACCTCAATTATGATGAACATTTCTGTAAATAGTATTTCATCATATAAAAGAAAAGGTTCTACCAATCCCAAAGGATCGGACACATGACCTCCCAGGTTATTGAATATTCCAGATCTTACCCAAATACACGCTACAGCCAATTCTTATTAATTAAATTAAAATGTATTAAAAAACAAAAGAGAGAGACTATGGTTAAAAGATCAGTATACATACAAACATGAGTTCAATTCACTGAGGTGCAGATTAATAGCAGAGATGGGGAGCTTTGTAGTTGCAAAGTGTTCTTTCAGAAATAGTTCATAGGTTATAGTCCAATGTCCAAATATCATATTCAGGGTGTACCAGCATAACTGGTCTTGCAACTCAAACTTCCCCGATGAAGCCTAAGCAGATCTGAGATAACAGAATCAGGACCCAAGGGTTTTTTTTACACAGTGTTCTAGCATCCACTTGACCACACAGTCCTGGTTAAACAATAGGCTTTTGATGTAACCTTTTGCTTTCTAAACACCACCAGTAATTAGTTACATAAATTAACATAGGGCAATTTATCCATTAGGCAGTCTATTACAAATTTCAAAGAGACATATAGACAATGACATTATTTTACCCAAGATTCATCCAAATGTTAATATTTCCTTTTGATCTCTGAATCAATAGTTATAGTGACAGTTCGGAACTGTCCCTTTATGGGTAGCATCAAAGATACACAAAATTACTATTACTTCTAACAACATGGGTTTGCATTTCAAAGTTCTAGCCTATTTAGCATGAATGGGCCTAATTATCATTTGCATACCTTTTTAACATGACTTTAAAGGTGGGCTTTGGGTCATTCAGCCTGCAAGTTGTTTAACCCTTTTTAGCCATGCGTCACAAACTTTATTTACAGCATGCTTTATTAATGTTCCGCACAGCATAAGGCTTTTCCCCAAGTCTTTGCCAACTACCAAGGCATGGGACAGAAGGGGGTAGGCCACACAGCTCTCTGTAATCTTGAACTCCTCTCTTTACCCCCTCTCCCCACCTCCTCCTGCCTCTCTTTTAACTACAAAAAGAACAGGAGTACTTGTGGCACCTTAGAGACTAACAAATTTATTAGAGCATAAGCTCTAAAAGGGCTACAGCCCACGAAAACTTATGCTCTAATAAATTTGTTAGTCTCTAAGGTGCCACAAGTACTCCTCTTCTTTTTGCGGATACAGACTAACACGGCTGCTACTCTGAAACCTCTCTTTTAACTGTTTCCAGCTGACAAGATGAATCACCCAGCTAATTAATCATTGAGTACTTAAACTATTACCTCAACAATTTGCTCCATGTGGGGACACTTCCACAGTGCACAGAGAGGCAGGGCCAGCTCCAGGCACCAGCTTGGCAAGCAGGTGCGTGGGGCGGCCACTCCGGAAAGGGGCGGCAGGTCCAGCTATTTGGCGGACGGTCCCTCACTCCCGCTCGGAGCGAAGGACCTTCCGCTGAATTGCTGCCGCAGATCGCGATCGTGGCTGTTTTTTTTTTTTTTTTTTTTTGGCTGCTTGGGGCGGCCAAAACCCTGGAGCTGGCCCTGCAGAGAGGTAAGTCAGCCTTAGGCCTGGTCTACACTAACACCCCAATTCGATCTAAGGTACGCAACTTCAGCTACGTGAATAACGTAGCTGAAGTCGACATACCTTAGTTCGAATTTACCGCGGTTCAGACGCGGTCCACACGCGGCAGGCAGGCTCCCCCGTCGACTCCGCGGTACTCCTCTCGCTGAGGTGGAGTACCGCAGTCGACGGCGAGCACTTCCTGGTTCGACTTATCGCGTCCAGACCAGACGCGATAAATCAAACCCGGAAGTTCGATTGCCAGCCGTCGAACTACCGCGGTAGTGTAGACCTGGCCTTAGGGTCTCTCACTCTGTCATAATGACCCTCTCCCTGAATTCAGCATTTCTGTGTCTGTTATGCGGAGCTCTGATGTAAATAAACCATTTCACTGGGGAATTAAAACATTTCACTCACGCCATCTGGAATGTTTAAAAGAAGATTAGAAACTGCAGATACCCAGGTTCCTTCACTCTCCTGCCCCCTAACAAAATACAGTGTCTGGAGTCTGACATATGTCTGGTACAGAATTACTTATTGTAATTTTAATCATATTT